AGCGGCGCACGGCCCGGAACGACGACAAGACAGCCCCACCGTAGACGCGTAGCTTATGCGGTAGGCGGTCCAGAGTCATCCCCCTTTCAGCAGCAGACGGGCCATCCTGGTTGTTGATTTGACGTCTTCGAACCCTTCAATACGCCACTTTTCATTGGTTATGTCTCTCTCCGTGCCGAAGTCCTCCAGTTTTTTCTTGAGGGCTTCGTTTGGCGTGTCGAACGGCACCCAGTGGAGCTTGAGACAAACTTCACGTTGGTCCTGGTCTATGGGCACGCACCATCCACCTTTCACCTGGAACTTGCCGGGCTTCATCACAGTCTTTTTCGATGCTCGTCTTAAGTCGGACGTCCAAACGTGTCCCATTTGAAACACCCCCATGCCAGCTACGTCTTTCAACACACCAAGTTCCTTCAAGGGTTCTCTGAAATCTTTGAAGCGTTAGGGCCTCGCACCGATGTCAGCGTGTAAAAAGATAGCGTCGGCAGCATAAAGCGTTAACCCTCTGGTAGATTGAGGACACTATCACCACGGCACGGCATTGCCGCTTTATGAGCTCCAACGGACCACATGATTCCACGTCCGTTCGCCTCGGCAGACGAAAGGAGAATCCCACTAGCCCACGCAGACACGCTTACACGGCTTGGAAACGAGCGCAGATTTATATGCTTAGCAATCGCGTTGCACCTATAATCGTTTTCCTGTATTTTTTTTTTAAACTGCGGGACACAGTGGGCAGGTACGGAATAACAGTGGGTCTTACAATGGGCCTCTCACGGGCGGGTTTTCTTGTGCATCTTAACTTTTTCATCAAACGTTCTGATACTTCGTTAAACACCCATGTGGGAGTCCCGAATCTTGCAGCCCAACATTCTGTAGCGCAAGGTTATCCTGGAGAGGATGTCTGCAGGATTATTTGAAAGTGGCCTCCAAGAACGTGTTGGCAGTGCCTCTTTTAATTAGTTTTGTGTGAGCCGACTCAAATGGTAGAATGCCCTTTTTAGATATCGTCTGGCAAGCCCAAGAGATGTGATCTACAAGCAGCGTAAGTGAAACGTCCAATAACTGTAGCTTCCCTTCAGTGAGTGTTTCATGTGTCAATTCCAGGACACTCGCGCATGCGCCAAAGACTTGCATCATTTCAGGCACAATATCCTTTAAAGGATTCTTAGTTGCTCCACCCAAAAGAAGAAAGCATCTACGTATCTAAAATCTTAGTCTTGCTGTCGGCTCCCAGCTTCTCGGGCGCAGCATAGATAGATTTTTAGAACTTCGAACTTTTTATCTTACGCACACGTGTGTTTTCTTTAAAGTTAATGAGGCATAAAAAGATTCAGGTAAAGGAGTAGAGTTCGTAAATGAGGCATCAATCACCCTACCAGGAAAGAGTGGAACTGACACGAGTGGCTTCCGTGGCTTCGTCAGTAGCGCGTCTGGCTAGCAAACGAAGGTTCGTGGTTCCGTACCCTGTTTAAAAGTCTTCAAATTTTCATTTCAAGCAAATGAGTTACTTTATAAAAGTAAATTATTTGATACTGAGGTGACCCTTGAATCGTTTTACGCGTCATGTTTTAATCACTTTAATTACACGTGACGTCACGTTTCCCGTGAGCGTGTGTTTGAAATTCCCGCTCGAGGTCATGTCGCTGTAACATCATGACCCTATCGACAAATCAAGATTTTCGTGTCACGCCACCGCAGCCGGCTTTTCTGTGACGCAAGCTCCTTAATGATATCGCGTAAAAATAGCACGATTAAATCAAGCATGATTTGTATCGACATGCTGATGACTAAACAAGGTGATGGGCCTATAGTATAGTTATTATCTCCCAGGGTTGGGCAGCATCGCGATGCAAATATATCGCGATAGTATTTCAGAAATACATTTCATATCTGTATTTCTCTATCACGATACATTTTTTCACCAGTACCTGTATTCCTGCATCGGAATACATTTTGAATCTTCCTTTGTATCGCAATACAATCAGAATGAAATGTAAGTACCCCCCCCCCCCCCCCCCATCAAAAAAAAAAATCGAACGCATTTTTTTTTTGAGGGCACCAGGTTTAAGGAGGTGCTGTGGAATTGTTACCATGCTGACCAAGGTTTCTTCCGATTCTCCAAACTATTTTCCTATCCGTCCTCTTCTCCCTTCTGAGAAGTGTTGCGTAGTCGGGGACTCGAACTAGGTGACATTTCCGCAGTGAAGTCAGAGCATCTTCTGCCGCATGCCTTTTGGCAGGAATTTCTTGAGTTATTTGCTGGCATCCAACGCCCGCCGATAACCATCTCTCTTGCCTTAGCGTACACAGTACACCCAGTTGGCAAAGCTGAGTCACAGTCCGTTGCAGCAAGAGCCTGGCGGTGGTTGACTTGAAATAGTAGAATAACTCACGCAGTGAAGTTCAACACATATTCGAATGCGCCTGCGGCTGCGCCCGTAATATTGCACGGCTCAAGAATACCTAATCAGCCGACGAGAGAGTAAGCCGCTGCTCTGGTGATTCGAAGCCCAGGAAGGAGGTCACACGCGGCCTCGCTGTGCCGACCCAGACTTCGTACACCTGCGACACGTCTCAAGCTCGCTGTTTCTCAGAGAGCTCGTACCTGTGCCGGCAATATCAGGTTGCAACCCACGAGGTCTCTATTTCGAGTACGCAAGACAAAACTTGGGGACTGCGATCCATGCTTCGTTGGCAGAGGGTCGATTGGAAAGACCACAATAGGGATGCCACGGTATCGTTTTTTCAACCGTAAGAGAAGATAAGACAGGTGTTCCAGGATGCTTCAGGTAGTCCGCTATTCTCGAAAAATCCAAATGACACTGCCTGCTTGATCTTCAACGAGGTAACCTATAACGAAAGTACGTATTGTCCTTTCATACAGCAGCCTGCTAAAGTTTCATGTTCAAGGCCACACCTACAGATAAAGAGCGCCAGTTCATTCTACCGTGACGTAATGTGATAAATGTTGACAGGGGCGTCCTTATTGGATAGGGGCGTGGTGATTTAGGATGACATATAATTTATTTAGAGGTCGAAGTCTTTTCGCATCTCTCATCAGACAGACAGGATGTCAGAGAAGGGACCGCGGTCAGTCCTTGATGGAACGTTTTTTTGAACCAATTGAAGACTCCTCGTCGTCCGAAATCACTACCTTCAAAGGCAAAGTGCCAAGCCTACGGTAAAGTAATTTCAAGATCAAAAACTTCAACATCCAACTTCAAGCTTCATCTCATTTGGCGTCCCAAACAAATTTTAAAAATGTATTGCACTATCAGTATTTCTGTATTTGTATTTCTGCCCTCCCTAAAGTGTGTTCCTGTATTTCTATTTGCAAATACTTTTTGCCTCTTCTTAAAATGTTTTTCTAATACGTATCGCGATACATTTTTACAGATATATCTCAAAATCAGCATTTTAGCTACTAATTTAATGTATTTCAGTGTTGGTATTTTCAAATACATTTTTGAGTATTTCTGCCCAACCTTGTTCTCTAATAATAACACAGAGTTGCGAGTGCGCCTTGTGTTATCTTACTTCATCTTTGTTGTTTGTGGCTCTTTTATACGTTTTAAAGTAGTGGTCACAGGCCGGCTTGAGTCTACGATTGCAACTCTTGAAGCTGTTACAATTGCAGAAGGATATCCATCCCTTAGCACGCGGTTGTAAAGTGTTCGGAGAATAAGCGAGACTGTGTCATGCGACACAGCACACAGTTCGCGCAAAAGCACGTTGACGTGGCTGGCCTCCAGTGCTGCCAGAGCGGGCATGGCTTTTCTCTCATGAAAAAAAAGTAAAAAACACGCTTTTTACGGCATTGATTGTACAAAAAATACCGCAAGTACAGATTGCTACCGATTTGCAAAGGAACTTCTAACCTTGAAGTTGCGAAAAACTAATCTCGATCGCGAAAACAATATTCTCGAGCTACCCGAAAAGCGGCTTCGCGGCTGCCGGGGTCGCTCGTCCGTTTTGCCGCCGGTGACGTACACAGGTAAGGAAAAGTAGAAATTTTTCATTGTTGCCAGAGGAGAGACGCTTCCAGGAACCCTTGCAATCGGCATAATCTTAAATATCAATAACTGAACATAAATCTTTTTCTTTTTTAAATAAAATAGTTTGCCCATCAGCTGAGAGAGGGCTATTGATGCGATCTGCCGATTTCCAGCCAAATCGAAGACAATAAAAAGAAACTCGGCTGAGTTTTCCTTTAATGATAAAAAAGAGTTTAAACACATTTCGTGATTTTTTGACGCCATGTTGAGGGAGATGTCTTTCTTAGCCTGGAAGTAAATTCACGTCTATGACTCTCTTTCCGCTGGCCATGCACGATGCAATGAACTAGTTTCTACTTCCAGTGGTTGCAATTCTTGTCGCAGGGGGCGTGGTACAATTTGTGATTCCTCCGACCCTCAAACTGTCGTCCATGCGGTTGCTCGATCCGCAACGAACGAGGCAGTGACTGTTGAAAGTCAGTTACTTGTTAAACTTTGGAGAGCGTAATATTATTAAACTAATTTTCAGCTTAATTCTTGAGGAGTTTAGTAGTACAAACGTGCATTAGAGTTAAGCCGTTGGATATTCCCTCGCTTTAATTTGCTGCTGGTGAGGTCCGTCATTGGCTAAAAGTGAGTCATTTGTTAAAATAATAGCGTTTGCTGACCTGTGGATTGCATGTACACTGGAGACTGACAGTCTACTTTCTTTCTTAAAAACAAAACAAAAACAAAACATAACAAAAACAGAATGTGTTGGTAGCAGCAGCAGGTAGTACGGGCGCCAAATATATTCTCTTAGCACGTGTAAAATTAATTTATTCAAAGGAGTAAAACGCAATATTCTTTAGTGCTACACAGAAATCCCAGCGGATATTTGAGAGCGAAGTATTTATTCAGCGGCAAAAATTTATTTGGTAGTCCCTACCAAAATCAAAACGTCTTCTCTTATCTAAACAAAAATAAAATATTTATCCAGAAATTAAATTTGTGAACGCGCACCTGTGATGACATCGCCCGGCCTGTAGTCCTCTTTGTCTTGGACGAGATGGTAGCGCTCGTTGCGGTGCTCAACGGCGTTCACGGCAATGGGTCCATGGGACGGTAGCAGGTCTTCGCAGGCCTCGTCGTCAGCTCCACCAGGATGTCCCGTGCAGATTCCAGCAGACAGAAAGACCAAGACAAGTGACGTTGCTACCTTCAGTGTCATCATGTTTCTGAAGGGCAAGAGAAACGCTTTCATCGGAAGACGAGAAAATACAAAGTGGGTTCAAACCCTGCTAATGATATTAATGTTCCTTCAGATATTACAGGTAAGGTAGTAATTTGTACAGCGTGAACTTGAGGTCATAGAATTAAATTAAACGTTGTTTAGCGCGAGACAGCTAGCGCGAACAAGCAGTTACCCCGTTCTAAGGTTTTTCTCGAAATCTAAGGGCTCGAATTACATCATTACACTGTGATTGACGTAGATTGGAAGGTGACATATTGCTGCATTTGGCAATGTGCACATGTCATCTCCTCTTGTCCTGACTACGCAACAGCTCCGGATCTCTATGTGTGCTGCTGGCTCACGCTAACGTCACCTTGCATGTTGAAGATGGAACATACTATATGAAGTGTGGCGTATAAGACTACTGATTTTTGAAAACTGATAGCCTTGATTTTACATCTAATTTATATAACCAAACTCCAGAAGAACACATGCTCCCTTGGTTTTTGCAGTTAACTTCGGATGCTTTTTATTTCCGCAACGGACTCCTTTCCTTAGATGAGACAAAAGAAATGTAGCGCACTATATTTCTTTTATCTTTTCCTAACCCTAGGAGCCGAAGCAAGACGCAGAACGAGCCAATCACGGCCCTTCAGAGTGTCACGTGATGGCTGAACGGTTGAGATCTAGTCTCGGCATAAGTTTGAAGTTACGCATTTGAGGAAGTGGATCGTTCAGAAATACTTCTATCTTAGGACTCCAGTCAGGTGAATTAAATATGTATTAAGCTGCCTCTAAAGGTGCACTTACCTGTCTGCAAAGGATGGGTGACAACGAAGTAGATCAAATGCCGAGTTGCTGCGTGGCCTAGAATTTCAGACGCCTCTAGCTCTTAAATAGTTTGTGAACCCTTTTATCATTGACTGCGGGACGATCTATCGTAGATAATGTACATTTTATGTGCCAAGACCGCTTGAGCATAGATTCAAGTAAGACGATCCATTGCTTTCATAATCAAGCACTCCTAATCTGAGATAATCTGAAGAGTTTAGTGACTCATATATCAGAAAAGGCGACGACCAGTCCGACATCAGGTCAAAGTGGACGCAAAATGTTAAGGACTCCTTATAATATAATGATTCAACACTTTTTTTTGTTTTAGTTCAATCGACTACTTACGTTTGTCATTGTGAATATAATTTAAATTTTTTTGTTCGTTCTGAGGACTGCGAACAACATAAAAAAACATGTTCGAATCCTTAGACAGTGTGGAATTGTTGCTTTCTATAAATTGAAATACCAAAGGTAGTCAGATTCGTTCTTCTAAGCTTACATTTTTTTTTGCCATTCTCTAAATTTTTAACATCAGTTAGACCTAAAAAAATGTAAGGACATGATGTGGCAAGTGGGAAATGTTTCTAAATATTAATAAATGCAAGTATGTTATATTCAAAAAACAAAAGGCAACTATTCTTATCGAAATATGAGCTGGACGGTGTTGCCTTAAATAAGGTTACTGATGTCCAGACTTGTAAGATAACAATTAGGAGTAATCAAATTAGTTGTAAACGATTACTTTCAAATATAATGGTACAATCGTGTGATTACATTTATTAGAAAGTAAACACGAGAGTAATTTGGTTACTTTTGGAAGTACTAAAATTACTTGTGACCATTACTATTCGACCCTCTTCTTTCTAACGGCACCCTCTGTTTTTAGAACTTTCCTACTAAGAAGTACTCAGACGAAGTCTCCGAGTAAAAGGTTGGTTTATCGAAATTGGTGAATAAATATTATAAGTAACTTATATTTGGGTGATTTTAATAAAATAATAGAATGTACGAAAGACTAGTTGTCAAACCGGCAGAACTGTTTTTTGTTTTGAAGATTAGAAGTAATCGGAAAAGTAATGTTTATTTTTCAAATAACGATCAATTACATTTCTTCTCAAATATTCGAGTAGTCAAATTTATTGTTTACTTTTAACCAAGAGCAACTGTTTTTGTAATCGACTACTGCTTTCGAGGAACTTGTAGAACATTACTAATGTGAAATATCTGGGTGTTTGTTTTAGCAACGATCTATCCTGGGCTAAACTAATAGGCGCAATAACAATAGACCTTTCCAGAAAAGCTGCGGTACAACAATTTTTGCACTTTGCGTAGATACTATTTACGATGAATCTCTGACGTTTATAACCATTAGGCACGCGTTAGCTTTTCTCCCTGTGTTAGCGTAGCTGCTAAAAAAAAATAAAATAAAAACGAGAATGGTTTTCCGCCTCCATTTCCAGGAAGGACAAGCGGCCGCGAAATCTTGAGCCGATTATATGCCGCCAATGAATATCATAGACACGTGCAGGGGTTGGCAAGGCATGGGACTCTCACTGAGTTGCTAAGTTGCAGACGATAGGATTCGGCTATTGTCGTCATTGAAGCGATAGGGCACGAGTCAATATTCAATTGTTGGTCATGCCATTGGTTATCTTGAGCCCAACTCGAGTGATCACGCAATTCTCGGGTGTAATCTATGAACCGCATTCAAGAACTGCCACGGGGGTACACTGGGACTTCGAAACTACGTTCTCGAGCTTTTGGGATGTAGTGTTTCAAAGAAAGCTTTTATTCAAGAGTTTACACCGCAACAAAGAGGATTCTTGGTCATTTGCTTTGCGTGTGAGTATAGTAGGGTTCCAAAAGTGCCAGTATGATCGTGTAAAGTGGAAAAAAAATCTAAATTAATATCCTTGCACCGCCCGTTTAAGATATCGAAATAACCGTTTTACCAAACATGTATCTTCACTCAACGTTTGACGGAGGAAATATAAGAGATATGGTTATTTTTTTTCTTCTATTTAACTTTCGACCCTGTGTTTGTCTCGTGTGCCCAAAAGCTGACGTGCCGTTTCCGTCAATTATTCCAAGCAGCGAAACCGCTTTTGCTGCGTTTGCATCGATGCTTCCTAGCAACCATTAGGCTGAGCAAGGCGTTCATATAACATGACATATTGGACATTGAATACTTCTAGAGATAGCAATATTGTCGGCGGTTGTTTTCGTCAATACACAATACGTACATAAAACAAAAACAAAAACCCATGTCCCTCTGTCCTGGGTTTGAAGTAATCCTGCATGAATCAAAATCACATTTAGGTTTAATTCTCTCAGTGACGTTCACATGCTGCATGTTACATGAAGTGTGAGCAAACAAAATAGCAATCAAACGCCGTTATCAGTGCGGCAACCCACTCATAACAAAAATTGTTTACTGCCAAAGGTTAGTAATACATTTTCTATCTTGTTTTATTCAACTGTTAGCATCTAGTTAGTGATCAAACCAAGAAAAATAAACAGAGGTTTGTAACTCTAGCTATATTCACTAACAGATGGAAGTGTTCATAAAGCAAAGAAAAAAATATCCGTCACAGCACCGAAGCCGAAGAATTCTCCTGAAAAATGATTGTTTCACCTGTCAGACTGGAGGAAAAAATGGGGGAGATCTCTTTCATCCGTTATAAGCATATTAATCATTCAGCTGACAGGGGGACGATTACAATCAGGTGCTGTGGTGTTGGAAAGTCTTTCGAGATACTTGATTCCCTTATCAACTTTTGACATTGCGGTGGTGGTCAAACAGCGGAAACGATAGTTCTAGCATTGCGATGCTCAAGCTAATGTTTGCGGAACAAAGTTCGTATCTGTACTCGGATCCGACATCTAGGTCTTATTGAAATCAGGCGGACCTTCACTAAGCTCTACAATTTTTGTAGATATGATTCTTTACGGACTAAGTCTTGGACTCGTGATATAACCGCGCTTTGTTTTTATTTTATCATAGCCAACTGAGCATAACGTATTTTTTATATCTTTGTTAAATATTTATAGGAGGACCCATAGACATATACCGTATGTAGATGTAAATCTGTTTTTGTTCTACTATCTCATCAAATCTTCTACTATTGTTGTACAAAATTATGTATTTACTATTGCGATGAAACACAAACGTGAAGTTTACACTCCAAATACCGTTTTAGTTACCGTAAAATTACATTATATTACTTCAATAGATTTTACAGTGTGTTTAAAATATCTATAATTAAAAAAAAAAACGTTCTGCCTCACAATCTAAATTTTATTACACACTTCAACTAGAACTATTGAATGAGAGGCCAAAAAGTTGGAGGTGCAACGGCAACAGTTATGGCATTAATGCCAGGTTAAGATGATATTATATAATCATGCCATATTCTTAAAAACACGGTCTTTAAACCGCATTATATCAGTGGATCTCATATGTGTTATTGTATACATCACGAGATATGAATTTTTTTTAAAGCGACGCTGTTGATTGCTAGGGTTCCGTGATTTTTTGTGTGCCGTGACTAAAAACTACGCTCGCACCGCCGCACGCGCCGCACGCGCACGCCTTCCTCATATAAAATATTAGAAGTAAATACCCAAAATAAAGCTTTGAACGAGCGTGTAAGATGTCATTACTATTTTTGATTGCTTTGTTTTTCAGTATTGTTTTAATGATGATCATTATGCACATGGTATTTCAGCTACTGCTTTTTTTTTCCCCTAGGGTTACTACAACGGGGATATAAAGAAAATGAAAGACGTTTACTACTCTCTCTAATGCCGAATTAGAGAGCAGCTCTTAGCAGGAGTAGGGGGGCGGGGGGGGGGGGGGTATGGAGTGGAGGGAGTTTCCCTCCTCCTCATCTGTATCCTCTCCTCCTGCCGTGCTCTTTCCTTTCTCCTCTGCTTCTCCTCCCTCCCTCCTTTCCCGCTCCTCTCTTGAGGTATTTCAATTTTGCGGTATATATATATATAACAGAAGAAAAAACCCTTAGTGAAAACAGCAACAACGGACGATTTAATCTTCGACGTTTCGGCCGGAGTCCGGCCTTCGTCACGATAGAAGGCACGCGAAGCATTTTGCGGCTCTCTGAAAAACCGCACAAATTCGCCGGGTTTTTAAGTTTCGACTTGCTGTCGGAACACATATCGGCCCCGGCAGCACCACGCTCCGTGGAGAGATAGTGCAACCAACCGCTGCTGCGCTGTCATCGCGCGATGCAGCAGAGGATGGTTGCACTAAAAAAACACCCTATATATATATATATCTATCTATATATATATATATATATATATATATATATATATATATATATATATATATATATATATATATAACGGACATGGTGGCGGGAGGCCGAAGGCGTGGGTATAGAAGAAAAGAACCCTTAGTGAAAACAGCAACAAAGGACGATTTAATCTTCGACGTTTCGGCCGGACTTCGGCCGAAACGTCGAAGATTAAATCGTCCGTTGTTGCTGTTTTCACTAAGGGTTCTTTCCTTCTTATATATATATATATATATATATAGGGTGCTGTTTTTTATTCTTACACATTTGTTTAAAAAAAAACGTGAAAGCAACACTAAAGCGGTTTATGTAGGTGGGTATACGGCGAGGCGGACATTATGTGGGTGGCTAATCTTTGCGATAAGTTGGCTAATTAATTAAAATTCGTTAAATAACCTTTTAATTACTGAAAATAAACATATGCTTTCAGTTAGAAACTTGTAGAGCATAATCGAAAACCACCAAATCAACTCTTTTTAGTAGGATATAACGCCGGGGCCACATTTTGCGGCACTCTGTAAAAAACCTCCAATTGGACGCCTTTCTAGATTTCGGTTTCTTATCGCAGCGCATCTACGCGCCCGCGGTCCTGCTTCCCAGTGGCTGAGACGCGCAACACGCGTACACCCTACTTCCCTCCGCTCTAAAAGGGAGGCGAGGGGGTGGCTTCGCGCAGCGACCACCAGGGAGCAGGACCGCGAGCGCAAGGATGCGCTCCGATAGGTAACCGAAATCTAGAAACGCGTCCAAATGAAGCGTTTTTACAGAACGCCGTAAAATGCTGCCTTGGCGTTATATCCCGCTAAAAATAGTTGATTTAGGGTTTTCGATGAAGCT